AGTCTAGGGAGTCGCCTACGCCTACTCCCTAACCCTAACCCTAACCATATCAGATAGTTACCAGGGTACGTTCCGATATATCAAACCGTACCTAGGGTACCCTCCGATAGTACCCTGGGGGACATAGACCCTACGAGCGTAACTTAATTGTCATTTGTTACTTCAGCTGTCAATGTCATTCTCCGATAATTACCCATTACTCCTCCCTACCAGATATGAAACGGAGACAGACTATAAATATCAAGTTGATTTTATTGCATGCTCGCTTTAAAGTCGTTCCACGACTCTCGCACACATACCCATGCATAGCCGAATTATCCCGTAGAAATGACCAGTAGAAAAGTAGTAGAAACTAGTAGAATGACCAGTAGAAAAGGGCACACTCACAGTGTACCTGCTGTAACGCGTGATTACATGCGTGGTTATTGGAGAGACAGGAAAATATTTTATATAGAGATGGTTCAGATAAACTTACTGGTCTTGTAAATAGCAGAAGTTGTACGTGTGCTGTCCGGGCAATGTTTCTACTGTTGTATTGTGATTGCTGGCGTCAAGTAAAGAGGCTATTGTACATATATAGCCAAGTACCGCTTATATCCGTGTTGCTGCTCTGTTTGTCGTTGGTTGGTCATAACGGAACGTGCCTGGCAGTCGAGGTGCACGACCCGACGTGTCGCCCCTGTGGGACCCCACAGCCACAGGGGCAAGCGTTACAATAGCAATAAACTAGGCGATTGGCAGTGTGACTGATTTAGAAGCAGATATATACGCCTCGAGAGAGCCCGAAACGGGCATTACACATAATAATAAATTTAGTACAAATATCTATCGGTATAAAGTTCATAGATCATCTTTTGTTCAAATTCTGTAGTCTTCGTTCACTTTTTTCGTTCATACTGTTTGAGTCTCTTTATGTTGAAGCATTCACAAGTTGTATGCACAAGTCCTCTCCACTCCTGTCTGTTGTCTACAACATTCCTCCACTGATCAAGGCCAATACCACACCTCAGAGCACCTTTGCAGACCTGTATCCTTATATCTCAGTTTAGGGCAACTAACAGATCGGGATCCATTTGCTAGCTCGCTGTATAGGCGTGCCTTTGCTGGTCTGTCGGTATGGAGAAGCAGACAATTACACTCGCCCTAAGTAGGCCAAAACAAAACATAGATGTGGTTACGGTTTCCCGACCGACCCTATTTATTCCCAGCAAGCCTAAACATTTTATTGTAAATTTTCTTTAAAGTAAAAAAAAAATTAAAAATTTATAATAAAAATTATGAATTGGACAGTTCCTGCT